CCCAACCTCTCACAGCGAGTCTTGAACTCCTTCATTTGGTTATCCGCCAAACCATTGCCACAGGCCTCGACGTCGGGCAGCCATTGATACAACTCAACCAAGAGAGTGTATCTAGAGGGGATCTTGGAAGGGCTAGACGGACGTGACCAAGTACCCCGCCTCCTTCACGCCTCTGTCAGTGCTCCCACATGCCTCAACACCCAAGCTGAGGAACTCCTTTGGGGGTATCACAGTGGTCTACATAAGATCATAATGACCACTAGCAGCAGGTCCCTTACCCCAAAGGCCTCGAGGAGGCTAGTAAGAGCAGCGAGGCATCCAGAGAGCTGTTTGTTGGTGACCCCTTTAGCTGGCATCTTCTTCCCCTTAGGCGGCTTCAACAGACCCTTGGCATGCCCACATACACCTTCCATCACCTCCTAACACCACCAGGTCAAACCAACACTAGCTACTCCGTCACCTTCGACAGGCCCTCCTGCCCTTCGATCGCCTTCGCCAAGCACTCCACACCGAAGCCCTGAATTTTCTGGTTGCCCGATATGTATTTCTCCAGAAGTCCAGCAAGGAAGGGCCCAAGGTTGAAGTTACTAGCCCCAGTACACGCCTAATAAGAATACCATAAGCTTGCAGGCGTGGTCCATGGCTGCCCACCGCAATAGCCTTGCATGCCCCCTCCTGGCTGCGGGGGTTGGTCTCGCTGGTCACCACCGATGCACTCATCAACAGCAACTCCACGGTAGCGACCTTCTCCTTCTCTTCCGTATTATCATCGGCTAAGGTTCGGTCTATCTCCGTGTAAGCACTGAAGGGAATACATTCCAAAATAACGGCGCGCGCCACAAAATTAATAGTAGGACCTGAGCCTAACCTGCCACCTCTTGTCCTTTAGTCGCTCTTCCAAAGGTATACCGCTATAGTCTGGCTCCTCCTCCTCTAGGTCTGGAGGTATACCCCCACCCTGCGTGGTCAAAGGTGGGGGAAAGGTGCCCATATGCGGCCCTACAACGGCATACCATACAAACTACCACCACCACCCCGATCCCTCTCTACCCTCTGCTCCTGATGCCATGTCCTTAGACGACTTCACAGGGGAGTTCTGTTTCGACGGCGGAGGGGTAATGGCAGGGACATCTCCCATCACAGCCGAGGGCTAAGGAGACGACCTCGCGGCAACAGTCGACGACGCCCTCTGTTACCTTTGGAGTGGGAATCCTCACACTTCGCGGGGTCTCATCTTTCAGGACCACTTCCTCGACGACAGTCACAGTACTTGGCATGACCTAAAACCATAAGTGTCAACGGCAGCATCCTAGTCCCAAGAGCCTACAGGGGTCTCGCAGCTGTCCACCACTGGAGCCGCC